GAAGCCCACGCCGCGTGCGAGGAGGAGGGACACGCATGTGAGAGGGAAGAGACGAGGGCTCATAATGATGAGCACGAGATGATGACGGCAAGCAAGTGCGCCCATCGATCCGGGAGATGCGGACCGTTAGGCGGAGTCCGCCCTCCTCCTCCTCCTGCTCTGCCCCCATGCTCCCCGCCCTCATGGGGAATGGAGCGGGCACGACAGCTTTCTTTGAAAAGCAGCCATGCCGAGCTGCTTGACCCGAGGGCCCCAAGGCCTACTCGACCTCCTGGTGGCCGGCGGGCCTGCGCCATGGCTCGCCTCCACCACCCATGCGCCCTCTCCTGGGGGCCGCTGCTCCTCGTGGCTCCGCCTTTTTTCTCATCCCTGGTCGATCTCCCCGTCCACTTCCTCCATGCATGCGGAGCAGACGGTGCCGAACTCGCCGCACGCGCGCCTGGCTGCTCGCCTTATGTCGGGCGTGTTCCCCTACAGGGGGATTTTCGACGACAAATAAAAAAATACCCCAAAGATACCCCTATATATATTACAAGAAAAATCATAAGAATAATTATAATAATAATCATAATAATAATAAGAATAATAATAATAATAATAATAATAATAATAATAATAAAATGTCCACCGACTATTGTTGGACTATTTGTGGGGTATGTTTTAAAAATGTTCGTCGACAATCCCCTGGTAGGGGGACAGGCCCGACTTAATGCTCGCCCGCAGTGCTCGGTCACCGGGGAGCCGGGCCCTCCGATCCTCGCACGCAGGGCGGGGCTTCCAGCCGGCATCTTTGCGGCGGTGGGGAGCAGCAGCAGCAGCAGTGAAGCAGTGGCGAAGCGTCCCGGCTCGCCTATAGCCCCACCAAAGAGAATGTTCTGAGAACTTTTAGTGGTCTGCACGACATGTTCTTAGAACTTTTTGGCTGGGACTGTCTTGCTTCTTTTCATCACATCGGGCTTATGTTCTAAGAATATTGTTCTTGTTCTCAGAACATGTCTGGGTTCCAAGAACATTTCGTGGTAGGACTCCAGGAATGCCAGGACGGCTGGTCCCTGCTCAAAGGAGGAGGAGGCGCAGGAGGAGGCGGGGGGGGGCCAGCAAAGGGAGGATCAGGAGGAAAAGAAACACACAGACACAATGAATCCTCGATTCCCCAGAAAATCTGGGAACATATGGGCAGTGGGGGGGGAAGACAGAAACCCAGAAGATATTGGGAAAGTATGGGGAATCTGCTTATTTGTGTGTATCTATTTGTGTGTCCTGGGGCCCCTTCAGAGGAGGGGAGGGGGCGGGAGGACGCGAGAGTGGGCCCAGTGGCTGCCCCGGGGGGTGGCACCGCGCGCAGGTCGTCGCGAGCACATGCGCTGCGTCGCGCGGCCGGGCCGTCCATCCCCTTGGCATCGCTCGGACGTGTGCATTTTTCCTTCGGCGAGGACCATCGAGGAGCATCCTTGATCATTTGGCGAAAAAGCCACGCACGAAACCGAAAAAAACACAGGGAATGGACGTCCGAGCGATGGCCAGTTACCGCCCCTTTTTGCTCCTCGTCTTTTCCCCCTTTCCCCTTCCTGCCTCGCTGTGTCGTCCTTCGCCCTCTTCGTCGGGAGGTGGATGGGCCTCCTACCCTGACACGTCGATCGAGGAATTGGCCGTTCTCGGTTCGCGAGAGGGCGTCGCGGCCGTCAGTTTGGCGGGTCCAGGTCCGTCGGTTTCGGTCCCAGGCAGTTTTCACTAAGGGGAGGTTTACTAAAGGGAGGTTTGTCCACCGCCGATTCGTCCTCCTCCGCCAGATGATAGCACACGTGCTCGTTGGCGGAGCATCGGCCTCACTGGAAAGCCAGTCGATCATTACCGCCACCACCGCCACATTTTCCATCAGCACGCACGTGGCCATTCAGGTCCCAAGCATGCTATGTCGATGACCGTCCTGGTCACAGGCCAGCAATGTCCACGTCCACATTACTGTATTGTGTTGTGATATGTGTGGGAGCCTTTCGTGTTGGCGTGTCCTTTCAGGTATGCGGTAATTATGCTTGCACTGTCGTTGAGGCCGCCGTTTCGTGAAAGACATCAGTCGCAAGGAGTCTGCTAGCCGCCTCGCATGTGCGAGGTGTACGTACTCATGTTAGTCGTGTCATGTTCCCTGGAGGTACATATCCACCTACCCCGGCCTAGCGGCACGTAGTCATGGCCCCATGCCGTCTCTTCTGAGATATTAGTTGGGTGGGTTCGCGGGGAAAAGGCTTAATGGAGAGGGAAGGAATAACCAAGACGCGCGGAGAGGTATGGGGGAGCCTGGATGATGAGAATGAGGGAGAGGAGGGGGTTAGAGGAGAAGGAGGGATAAGAGGAGGAGGAGGAGGAGGAGGGGGATGCATTCATGCAGATGTTCAGAGGCTTGTCGTTAAGTTAGTTGTCGCGCAAGCTCAAGCCGAGGTCGCAGGTGGTCGTTGCGGATCACAGACAACGCACGGGGAAGCAGAGCGCCATTAGAGCCAAGGCGCTTCGCCCATGAGCGGGTCGGCGGATTGTGGGCCTCATTGGTGCAACGGCCAAGACATTGGCGAGGGAGCGTGCGACGAGACCTCGGAGCCCATGAGACAGGCTTTGCCAAGGCCAGGCGAAGAGGAGGGGGGGAGGGGGAGGGGGAGGGGGAGGAGGGAGGGGGCCCCCCGGGTTCGGTATCAACGCGAGGAGCTGGAACGGAGAGAACGTTGGCCAGGGGCGGAGCCGCATCGCATCAAGCTGCCTCGGCCGGGGGAAGAGGCATGCTGAGAGTGACGAGCACCCGCGCACCCTCGCCCTGCCCCGCTCGCTTGCTCCTGTCCCCCCGTGAACCCGCCGCCCTGCCCCCACTCTGCGAGCCTCCGAAGCTTGCGTTCCACAAGCGACGCCACTGTGCAACTCCATGTGGTGGCTCTGGCAGAGCGGGGTGGCAGGGCCCCTGGCCAACCGCGCGGCACCACATCGGGCGCGGCGCAGGGGGCGGACCGTGTGATGAAGCCGCAGGTGGGGGAGGTTCCTTCCGTGCAGGAGTGAGCGTCAGGAGGAGTTGAGGAGGCGGAGGAGGGAATGCTGAGTGTGGAGGGGGAGTAGAGCAGGAGGGGGGAGAAGGGGGAGTGGGAGGGACGGGGACGAGGAGGAGGAGGAGAAGGAGGACGCGGATTGATGGCAGCTCAATGGCGGGCAGGCGTCGGCATCGGGGGTCGCACGGCTCGTAGAGTCGATGACGTCACGGCTAAGAACGCAAGATACGTTGCCGATTCCAGATTGGTGTTGGCTTCCTTACCATGTTTTTCGGTTATATCTTGTACTTGATTTCGCTGCGTGGGAATCGTAATACGATTTTTACTTAGATCTGTGGAGCTGTCGTGCAATATCTCAGGTGTCTTTCGCTTGCTGGAGCCGTTTGCGGCATTCCCCAGGCTCGCATCGGCCGAATCCCGCCCCCGCCCCGTCCTCTTCGCAAGGCTCGCATCGGCATATCGAAGGAGGATCGGAATCGTTCTCGATGTTGGTAACACATTGGGTCGATACGATTCTGGCCTCAGCAAGAAGAGCTCATGGGGAACGGAGGCCCACCGTCCTGTTTGCAAACCGGCGGCGCACCGCTGCAGGGCGTCCAGCGGACTTCGCCCGCAGACGCATGTTGTTTGCACCATGATTCGGAGGATGACCCATTCCGCCAGCCCCTCCTCCTTTTCCTCATCATCATCTTATTATTACTCCGACTCCTCATCCTCCTCGTCCTCCTCCTTTTCCTCCTTCCCCTTCTCCTCCTCCTCCTCCTCCTCCTCCTCCTCCTCTTCATCATCCCCCCTCAGAAGCCCCAGTGACCAGTGAAGCTGTGGTTCCAGTGGTGGGAGTGTAGAGACTGCCGGGCACACGCTCCGCCCGACCCACCACCTCCACGTCATACCGAAGTGTTTAGTGGTCTTCGCTTCTGCCGAGCAAGCGGCGAGACTGCCACCGCAGTACCCGAGGCATCCAGCGGCAGAATGTAAGGAGACGACTCGCAAAGGCCACGATAATCGAGCCAAGATCGACGAGGGTGTTTTCCTCCGCGCCGCGGGGCCACGCGCCTACATGTCCTAACCGTGCCACTCACGCCGTGTCCAGCTTGCGGTTTCATGAACAGCAATTGTCGAGTGAGGTCACGGCGTCGGCAACGCACCTTGGTGCGCTCAATTGGATATCTTGGATCTCCTCTTTCTCAGCTTCACCTGCCTCCACCTCATCCTCCTCCTCCCCTTCCTCATGATCCTCATCGCTCGGAGCCCAAAAAGAGGCCAGCGGATAAGTGTTGTGGGCAGGAGAGCAACCAGTCCTCGTGCAACCGACTGCTCGTGAAGTGCCATCCTCTCCTCCGCTCATTTCGCATGTTTCCGCTCTCCATCCTCAGACGCATTCTAATTGACTTACCGTGAACTCTTCACGCTTGCTTTCATTGTCCTAGTCGTGCCTCGCCCCCACTTCCCATATATCATGTTGCGCAGGTGCTTGTCAGCTTTGCAAGACGACGACCTGTCGGAGACTCCTTTGTTTGCTGAGAGAATGTTTGATGCTGTTCGCTGCTTGATGTCGCTTCACGTGTGCATCATGGGCCCACGCAGTCACGGATACAAGAAAGGGGCGCACCAGTTGTTTTGTTGGGGATTCTGGTAAACAGCGAGCCCAACAGACATGAATTGGCCGGCACCGTTCAGTGCGCAGACTTTGAATACCAATGACATTCATGCATTTCATTGCATGCGCTTCGGCATGTGTGCGCGTGCGACCGTAGCCTCCTGGCTCAAGCCGCTCTGGCCCGAGGTTGACCCTGCGCGGCCTGTGGGCCGGAGTCTCCCTTTGACTTCGGCCAGCCTGAGAGGCGCTAGGAGGCGCCTCCCCCTCCTGGCGCCCCTCCCCCGGTGCCATGTCTATGTCTCCGTCTCCTGGCGGGCCGCCGCGGACGGCCTTGCGGCGCTTCCAGCGACGGGCGGCGGCCGCGGTCCCCCCTC